GGGTCCAGAGAATGGTACATCGTTTGATATAAAGCAGTCCTGTCATGGATATGACTACCCTATGCAGATCGTCAGTCGTTGAGCGTAACTTCAAGACGCCAATAAATTACTGAAGGATGTTATATGCAATTTAGATAAAGTTACCACCAGAGAAAGTGTTTCATTATTTCCCAAACTATGTTATTAAGATATATTGCTTTGCTTATGATAACGTCGTTGAATTTAGACATTTAACTGTTTCAGGATAAGAAACCCTACACTTCGCCACATTATTCATGCAAATCGGGGGGAAAAGTTAATTAAGTTTGCCTAAAGTTAAACAGAAAAGTCTTCGCCCCCGTTCACCTAATCAACAATTTCATAGTCAATTTAACATGCATTTACGCGTGACGCACGAAAGCTTAGATATGCAACACGTTCAAAATGATCAGTCATTCAGCCACCATGTCATTGGTTTATCGAGCTTGCGAGAGAAGGAAACTTCAAACACAAATGCCCCGGCTTTTTTTTTTGAGTTCTCTAACCTAAAGTTAATAAGAGATATGAAACAGAACTAGTATAATGATCCTGTGACTAATAATAATCTAAGATAGCATGTACAATAAGAGTGATAGAAACAAACGCTTGTGTTTAGTGAATACGGTTTTGGAGGCCTTAATTTAAAAAGCCAGTTGAGTGCATCGCCACTTACTCTACATTAAAGCCAAATTTCAGTTGTGCATTATCCTCTTTAGTAACTATTCCGTTTATCGACTGGAACTTACAAACAGCTACGAAAATGCCAATGCACTTACTTGAAAAATAACACCTCACCGCGTATGGGTTAAATATAGACGCAAACGTCGCGTAACGATGTTCATTGAGGTAGGCGATATGAGAACGGACGCACAAAATCGACAGCTGGGTATTTTTCGTCATAGGAAGCATAATGCATCTAGTCGATGATTGTTTAAGAATTGTCCCCTCGGCATTTGCAGTGTTTAAATGTCAAAATGGGTTGACTACCTGGATGTGATTAATGTACCCTCAAAGATTTTTATCCTCTTGGCGATGGCCTTAAGACTCGATTTATCACTGCGTCAATCTAAAAGATCCACGTCACATAATTTCCGCCATTGACTGTCGATTTTTAAAGACTAACGGGTAAGGTCCACTTGATATGTTTTTCATATAGATTTCAGATTTCGCTGGAACCGGACCTCGATCTACTTGGTCCAAGATGAGACAAAAAGATATTCTGCTAGTTGAAAAGATTCGCCAAATTACTCTAGTTCCTAATCCGATATATTCCCTATAAAACAATAATAAATGCCTATTTAATGCGCATCCTGCGATTTACCGTATCGGAATCATTCTACCGCGCCACTATACAAAGCATGTCCCGTTTTAGCGCGGTCGCCTAGACAGTTAATGTATAACACCAAAACAGCTGGCACACTCATACGTATTTTCGACAGAATGGAAGCCTATGGGAATCGAAAAATATACATGTTCGTATGCAACCACACAACCAACTAAACGTACACATACACGCACGACGCTATGCAATAACGATCTGTAATATGTACCATACGATCTAAATGGGTCTTCACGTGCGGCTACCTCCAGAACTATAGCAGAACCGCTATAGGGTCCCGTACCGTCCTTATCATCGGTGGTTACCGTCACTGCACTATCATTTATATACATATATACTCTTCTTCGTTTCTTATTATCATCGTTACATTTATCTGATCTGATTGCCTTTTTCCGCTCCGGCTTTACCCATTCCTGCCGCCTGCTGCGAATCGTTCCTGCAAACGAATATTTATGGTCCTATGCGGTATGAGCGCAACTTTGCTCCCAACAGAAATCGTTTCGTTAGTACACAATAGTACATAGGGTGTCTTGCTTTTGGGCGGCAAAAACATGCGCAGGCCAAATCTCTAGTTCGCTGGCACGACGTACTGTTTGCCAAATCAATGCCCGTCGCAGTAGCTGTGATTTTTTTCGGGTGTATGTTCATGCGGAGAAAGCTTCGTTGGAATAGGCCTGTTCTCACGGACGATAACAAGCCCCAAATAGATAGGTAAAAATGGCGCAGTGCGGAGAAAAATGTACCACAACGAAAACACTTTGAAGACATTGTTTTATGGTTTATAAGAACTAGCCAATCAATATGAGGAGAAGATATGTAAGAACCAGCTGGAAACAGTCGATACTCATCGAATGTCTATGACGATACAAGTACATAATTTTTTATTTCTGGAACTCACTGGTAGTATGTGAATTTTTTACATACTACCGGGAGTTAGTTTCGTCGGGGAGGACCTAGGCCTTCGTGGTGTCATTAACTATGTACACCGAGAAGTTTGGCCTCTAAAACCCCGACACACGTCAACCCGGAGGCGTTGGGGGGTAAGGACCGAGAGGTCTTTGAATTACACCAGTCTTATCACCCTTAAGCAAATAAACAGATAAAAAGGAATTTCAGGTAGTTCTGCACCGATATCTGTTCCCCTTCTGCATATTTGCCGTTAATTTCATTTTTAGAAGTTAGGTTACATACGCTGTTTTTTTGTACATAATTTTCCAACATAGCATTCACTCACTCGTGTCCAGATCGCCTTTGCTACCATCTTACCGAACACAATAGTTGAAACATTACATTTCTTTTGGATTCCTTCCACACCAGAGAAGCCATGTCTGCTCAGCATTTGCATCGAGTAAAAATTCGGTTGACTTTATTCTTTTCCTGCGCCTTTGATGCAGCCTTTGCCATTTTCGGTTCGAAAAATCTGCGCTTGATCCTTGATGTATATATCGGTGCGTCGACGATCAGACGTGATAAATAATCGTTATGAGGACACGTATACGTGTCCAGCTATGACATATCTACAAATTCCACTGATACTGGCATGTTAGCATATTTTGTTTGTATAAAACGTTTCCAAGTACTTCTGATCGAATCCAAATAACAGATTTATGGTTGGAACAGAACAAAACAAACGCCACGAAGGAGGCGGCTCCTTTTGAGTTTTTTTTTAGCGTCCGCAAATACCCATATTTTTTATGCGCTTTTTTTCTGGCTACCCGAACCGTTTCCTTGTAGAAAGGTCACGAATTCTAGCTTATGGTTAGCGTTTCGAACTAGCTATGTCAGACAGACTGCCGTTTGATGATCCGTTTGTATTTGATGGAAGAGATTCGGAAATCGCGTTCCAGTTTCTCTTTGTGTTTAGCTTGCGCTGGAAAATACTTCCGATTCTATAGCTGGTTTATCTTGTGCCGTATTAAAAGCATTAGTCTTGGCTTATGGCGGCTGTATAAACATACTAAAAGCCAAACACTGCATTAAGGATCACTAAAGTGGCTTATGGTAATTTTAAATTTAACCAGCTTATAGATAGATACCTTCGATTCTATAATCGAGAAACCTATCTACACCATTGTTACAACTACGTGCAGATATTAACGTGCATCCTAAATAGGCTGGATGCGGAAGAGGTTTGGGTCAGTACTCACCCTACAACCGTGTGAAACCATACATGTATGGATAGAGAACGAAAAATTACGTAACAGAAAAACTAAACGAATGACATGATACTGCCATATGTACGAAGTTCCCAATGCTAAGGGTATACGTCAACGTTACGTATGTAATTTAGACGTTATAGATAGAGCTTCTGGCCAACGCATATGCGTGATAGCATTTTTTTTTTTTGTATTGTAGTTATTTATTAGATCACATTATAGATTATACAGTCAGATCGGCTGTCGCGCCTTTGAATCCGGCGGAGGACTTCCGCTTAAATCGGACTATATAGCAAATCTGATCTTTTCGTCCGAAACAATAGCGATATAATGATGAAGCAGAATCTGAGTTGCTGTCTAACTACGGTGGAGTAATTATATATATATATATCTGTGTTAAGGGGGCGGCGCGTAATATACCATTCTAGAGGATCGAGATTAAGGCAAAGATCAAGCAAACTGATCTAAGTATACGACGTCCGTATTCATTCTAATGAATTTATAAATATTCTTTATTTTTATGTCGCTTAACGATAGTAAACAACTCGTATTGAAAGAGGGGTATAGAAACATATGCACAACTTGATTCCATTTATACTAAAAGAGATTTAATTGTATCTGATTTTTTTCGCCAAGGAACGCAATTTGTTAGAGGAGTTCAATCGGTCATTTGGGGCCAGACAAGGAAAACTACCGTTCATATTGCACTATTGGTCTTCAAGAAAGAAGTCTCAAGTTCTCTCAAATAGATCATTCATGCCAAAACCGGCTAGTTTACCTAATAGATATTGTTCGACCTCGTAATTCTGCTTGGATAATTTGGTGGTTATGAGCTTATCCGCCCATATCTGTTGCGTAACATGGCTCTATAGTACGTAAAAAAAAAAAAAAAGGAAAACGAAGTGCCCAAAAAATGTTTTATTCTATTGGTACAAAGCCGCGGCCAAGTTCTACCGTAAATGTGTCCTTAAATGTTACGTTATACGCAAGCTATTCCAACTATGGCTTAGTGAGTAGTTACGCATTATTAATGAACACCCTCGACGACGTACGCAGAGATCGTACCTAATCACAATATAATTACTAACTTAACGGAGAACGATGACGCCATTGAGTAAAATGTCATTGTAAGTTGAAACAATATAAAGGGTCCAGTCGTACCAATACCGACCGTGTTGTTAAACAAAACAGAGTCTTTAAATTCCAAATGCAGCAAGTACTAACTAACGTGGACGGCCAGATCACATTCTGGACGGCACGAGCAAACAAAAAAATAACAAATGCATTAACAATAGTTAATTAACATCTGCTTTATTCTATTCGATTAAACGTTGCGTAACAATGAATCGCTTGGCCCCTATGAAACTTCTATATTTTCGACAATTAGCGTAACACACACTAAAAACGTTCATTTCCGTATAATTCCCATATTAACATCACTGTGATTTGGTTTTATTTACTTTGTTACGTTTCATGTTCGGTAACAGGTGGAGCACCATTGGAGATACTCCCTCGTTGCGAAACAACGACAACGGAGCAATCTGGCCAAAGCAACGTCCACTGTCCCGGTCGTCTCTATCTCAAGATTCGTTACGAGGTGGTTCCTGCCAGAGGTACTGGGGGCGCCAATCCAGCCCTTTTCTAGGACAAGGCCATAGAGAAAAGACACGCACAGTCTAAGCGGATTTTTTTCACGCTCAAGGCAGAGAGCCGACCTAGTTTGTTGGCTGGGTTCGTGTTGTTGGACAAAGCTGAGGTTTTACGGGCGGTGAAGATCGTCGACGAACTGCGACAAATTTCGCCACTATCATCAGCAGCTTCCTCTCAATCGACCAGCCCGTACTTTTCCCCTGTCACTGCTTGCACTGTTAGCGACTAGCGGAGTTCCGGTTGTTGCGGTGTGGCAACGTTGGCGGGCGCTTGTGGCTTGGCGGTGCCGCTCGGCGCGCCGTCGCCGGTGCGGGGCAAAACACCTTCGCCCCAGGGGCGGTTGCGGCCCCTTTCGCCGGTGACGTCGGTCGCCAGTGACCGCGATCTTCGAGAGCCACCCCCTCTTGAGCTGCCTCTAACTCTATCGAAAGGTAGCAACACAACTAGCTCTAGCATACACCTGGGGACAACTGGCCCGCACCACAATCAGACTTCATCCGCACTACTGAACGAAGGTAAGGAAGAGAATAAACCGTATACAGATGGAAAGAAAAAAATCTCTATTCTGTGGAAAAGCAGTTTTATAGTTAGTCATGGGCAAATGTGTCGTTGTGTACTGTAAATCTATGTTCCGCTCGATCGCGATTATCTTTCAATGACAGATGTACTGATAAAAGATGAATAAAATAAGATGTAGGATGACAAGAGCCATACAAAGAATTTAGTCAAGGCTTGACGGTTTCTGATACGCAAGGTTGATAGCATACTCTCTAAAAATATAAATACTCATCGTGTATTGGCAGTAATTGCGGCTGCGCTTCCTTCGCAGGCACGAGTTGTCCCGGTTCGGTAGGTTGTCCTACAGGAGTGGGTGCAATGGCCTATCATTTGAAGAATCCAGCTGCCACAGCCGCTGCCTACAACGGCATCAGTCATCTGACAGGATCAACAGTTGATCTCTTACATTCATCACCGGTGCACGCTTATCCACGTATGTCCATATCCAATACCTACAAACACGAAATTTTGTAACTTCGACTTCACGTACTGCTATTGACCATCATTTAAGATCAGCTGTTCCCTCGGTTTCGAGGCTGGGTCACCTCATGTGACCCCAACTTCAGTAAACACATACGTTGCCACTGCATCATCACACGGACATGTTATAGTTACCTAAATCTAGACTGACACTTCGACAAACAAGCGCACATTTACAGGTAGAGATAGGTTTATGGAAAGGATGGTGAGCAAGTGTAATCAATTGTAATTGAAATAGAACTTAGATCCGCAATTGAATTACGTTAGAAAAATGTCGCAGTCTTTAACAATTAATTAACTTTTCACAAAGCCAAGTCCTTATATACAACTTATATAGCTCATTGTGCTAGCAAATATCTGATATGAGGGAACCGCGAACGTGCGAATCTCGGCATCAAAAACAAGGTTTCGAAAATGAGGTCATTGGGGCCATGAAGATGGCTCGCAAACCCATTTTTTCATCTCTCTATGGTGGTACATTGACTCCTGATCAATGCTGATTCTCTATACGGAAAATGCCTTGAAATACACTTTTTTGCCACCGTAAAAAGGAAGGTAAATGAAGTGAACGCTGTATAATTATAGCGCGGATTACACCGAGAGATAGCGAAAGCGAAAGAGTTAAATATTCAACTTCGTTATTTAGATAATATGATTATACTATTAAACTATGTAAAATCCTCTTATTAATTTGCTTTTTCTACTTAAGCCGTTTTTACATTCTGCTTGTTTAAACTATATGAATCTCTTACGACAGATACTCATATGGCCCGTCAGTGCATTGTGTGCTCCACTATTATCATCATTATTTTTACGGATCATAATATTCGCCTGTTACACACGATTAGATATCGTTATCGATCCGCGGGACCATGGTATCAGGATGAGACCCGTTTCTCGTCTTAGCTGCTGCTATCGTCTACAGATGTCATTTCCCAGAAGCAGAAAGCGATAACGACACTGTTCGGCCAATCGAAGCCCGCTTCGATTGCGGTCCGACAGACCGACATGACCAGGATAATCGAAGGCTCGACTGGGCCACAAGACACTCATGTTCACACGCAGGTACATTAGCAAAAATTCATCGAACTAGATTGTTCCTGTGCTGGAAGAAGATTCAAGATAACCAGTTGATATCTGGCTGTTTTGCAGAACCGCGTCGTGCTACGTGCAAACATTGTCCCACCGATTGATGGGATATAAAAGTTGCCAGTCGATCTTTCTTTTGATCTGGCTAGGCCATGATCAGCAGCGGGTTTCGAACCTCGATTGTCACAGCGATCGAACTGACCCCTGACCAATGCCTGTACTCAAAATAGAAAAAGTAAAAGCTATTATATATATAGCGGAAAGTGAGAAGGGTTCGAGTTAAAACACAGAAAAGATCCTTTTCACACTTGTTATTGGGTTGTTGTAGCATGCTTGCCAGGGACTCTGTAATGTCATAGAGTGGGACCGAGTTAATTTTCTGGTTTGCCTAAATATCTTTCGTCTATTTGTCATCAGTTAATTTATCGTTATTTACCTGTCATCTAGTAATATATCGTATCTAATCGATATCAGTCGAACCGTGCGTTCTTCTGGTTTGCAATAATATGCACACCGCGATTAACTTAATTGATGTCTTCCTAAAACACGATGACGTTGGAGTGAATTGGCGTCTGATGTAATGTCTACCGGCGACGTCAGACGTAAAACTTGAAAAATTTTAAGTGAAGTGAACTGGGAAGCCCGTGACCAGACTTTGGGGCGTGCGTTCCAGTGCGGATCGTCTTTTTATGCGTATTTACGTATTTACGTATTTATCACCATACTCGCACGGTTACTGTAGTGTCGTAATGATATATTCTCTAAGGTAGTCCCTATCACTTATGAATAGAACATATAAAAAGCCATCGCTTCCCCAGAGGCTGGACTTAGCGGCCTCTTTACTGAGACCTACTGTCAACGCTGTGAGCATACTAACTGATCGTTAGTCTTTTGCATAACAGCAGACCTGAAGGCACCGTCATAGCCAATACGTTCGGGAGATGTCAAGACGTATTTTGCCCAGTGACAAGTTTATCCATCAATGTATGGTATCAATCAATAAGTACCAGAACGGAAAGCGGCGGCGAATCGATGTTTTGCGTTCGAAATATATAGTAGACGATATCTCAACTCTTGCCAACAACTTGCTTGAATATTGGGCTGGCTTGAGATACTTTTTCAACATAGTTATTGCCTGTGTGCATGTATTCAACTTAGGTAGTATGACAAAAGAACAATGGTACGCCAAGTACCTTTTCAATATATATATATTTGCATAGCTATTAAGGCCATGTCTCTAGTATATTGGACCAAACCTCTCACGTCCATCAACAAATGGTTGCACTTACTTCGTCGACTTTTTTTTTTTACGATACTATGCCTTAAGCAGAAAGAATAGACTTTTTGTCCAAAAGTTGCTCAGCAGATCTTCTCATAAAAATCGAATGAATCAATTGATTTCAATTGTTGTACATTTATATGTTTACTCACCTACCTAGTAAACACTTGTAGGTGAAGACATGAGATTGTGTCACATCGATCATCTTCTATTATTTGGTGCTAACCTCATACGTCCAAATTATTGTCGGCGATTGACCACAGAGTACTCACATTTGGCTTTTTATAACGATGGTAAATCCTCTTTAACACTTTTGTTCGCTCGAAAAGGGTAGTACCCCTCAACATAAATTCGTTAGACGCCAGCGACATCTGGTGTTCACAGTAGTTTAATGGCAACATTTGATATCCATCCACCCGCCAAATGTTTTCGACGTTTTCATGTAAGGTCTGACAAGACAAAGGTGAAATTTTGCCTTAGACCCTAACAGATCCATCGCTAAATAATCGGTTCATGAATCATCTTTATACGCCCCAGCGCAAGACAATAGAACGGCCTAGTTCGCTGTATATAGAATACTTGCGGCGAAACGCTGCGGTAATCTTCGGTATGTTTAATGGTAAAATCTCGTACACCTTACGTAAAAAAACAATACGAAGGATCACAAATCATCGAGAAGTGTGGTTTTTGAGAAAAGCTAGGGAAGTTTCGTAGGGCAGCAGAGCACTAACTTCATTTTCAGATCGCGGAACGTGCAGGCAAAGACAGTCGGTAAAAATCAAAATAATTTAAGAGTTGTATGTAAGCCCCTACGTCCCAGCTAACATTAGATTTAATGTCGATCACAGCTTCCATGAGTACCCAAGTTTCATTGTTGTGTATTTGTATAAGTACCTCTACCTCTCTCCAGGCTCTATACTTTGACCAAGCCATTATCAGTTGCTACGATTGATAAATGTCAAATGTTATCCCCGATGATCATATCCGATCAGTGAAGATAATGATCTCATTCGAATGATTGAAAGATTTTGTGGAGACATACATGAGACAGACACACATAGTCAGGCTTATCACAGAAGCCTTCTTATTTAAAACTCATAAGAGTTTGTGGCTTATTAGAATATATATAAGACAGAGGTCTCACATTTATTCCAAACAGGCTAAGAAGAAGAGTGACATTACTTGCCAACCGCGGCAATAGCTATTACCTTAAAAATGGCCGCGGTAATCTTCGCTTAAGTTCGCGGCTATGGATCAACCATTCTGAAGCCATGACTGCATTTAAAATTGAAAACTCTGATTACATCATTACAACAATCGATTTCAAAGGGCATTGCGCCAACAAGCCCCTAATTTATAGGCTGGATAGAAAATTCCCGCATGTTTAAACTTTCCTTTTTCACTTGCCCTCAACGAGTTGTTTACTTCTAATATACCGACGTTTTCTGTGCTACGCATTTCGTCAAGGCTCAAACGCTGCTAAAACAGGCCGTGTCATATACCTTGTGCATGGTAATGACGCTATCGCTAAAAGGACTGCTCACGAATGGTTTGCCAAGTTTGAAAAGAGTATTCAGGATCTAGAGGATGCGTGCCGCGTTAACTAATCGTTTGATTTGGGTGACGACCGTCTGAAAGCACTTCGGAAATTAGCCGAAGAGGTTGGCTGTACGATTTTCGTTAACCATCTTGAGTTCCTTATGTTTATACAGAAATTTGGTGCTTCGGTGCCTAATGAACTTTATGAATCCAACGGCTTAACGCTTAATCTTCACATTTCGCTAGATATCGAATGTTATACAGACACAATGACCGATTTCTGCGCATGATGCATACGGGTGATAAGAAGTGCCATCTATACCTTAACATGAATCAGAGATCGGAATGGATAACTCTAAAAGAGAAGCCAAGGTCAGGGGTCCAGCCAGATCTTCATCCAAAAAGGGCTTACGAACTCAAACAGTTGACCGGCATGTTTATTGGCCCAGTTGCATCAAGTCAAGGAAAAGATCCAACAAACGTTGTTAAGTATCTTGCTCCCTGACAACGCGAGGTCACATACGGCAGTCATTATCAAAGCTGCCCTCCTGAATATTAAATAGGAGGTTTTATCGCACCCCCTATAATCCAGATCCTGCCCCGATACGTTTTTACCTCCTCCATTCATTAAGCAATTGCCTTCGACATGGACTAAGGAACTTGTAACGTAATTGGATAACTTATTCGAGACAAAACTCGTTGTTTCCTAGGGAAACGGCATACGTCGTTCAGCAGAAATACGGTAGAAAAGCGTCAACAATGATAGGGGATATATAACAAAATAAATTAATATAGTTTTGTTTCTATCCATCGTTTTCTATTTAGTTAGAGGCGCCGGGACCTTCTCCAACTTGATATAAGGTTTAATAAAAGGCTTCGGTTGTTTTTCACTCTAACTTTCTCAATCAAAGTAGTGCCCTTCATTTTTTACAACTTTCTCCCATTTTTCTGGTAGTGGACGTATCTCACGAAGTGACAAGGCTTCGCTCTTGGAAACGATCCATTCGTTGACCCATTTGTGGACCTCGGCCTCTGTTCCAAAGTGT